CTCCTGGGATGCTTTCTCCTTTCAAACTCATAACGCCCCATTTATTTTTCCAAATACCCCATTTATTTTTCTACATCATGACTGAAATGAATACAACCAATCCACGATTCATAGAATCAACTTTTCAACGAAAAAAAAACGAAATAGAAGATCGAATATCCTCATACCTGGGCGATAATAGAATTGTAGCATCCGAATTACGTAACGTGTGAATATGTTAATTCACCCGCGAGCTGTATATATGAAGCTGTGAACGTGATCTGCACTCATGCGTTGGATTCCATTTTACCCTTCTCTCTTACACTGTTGTGTACGAAGCTCCCGCTAATTAGGGTACAACGGTATTGTCGCTGCTAATAAACGGATGCATGAAACGGTAATACACTATAGTGACGGGTCAGTCCGCAGGGTAGACTAACGGCGACTGCTATTATCCGTTAATGGATAGTGATGTCGTGGGTAACCCCAATTTATTCGATTATTTATGAGATTGATGATATCGACATTCCACCTGCTGAATTCACTCTGGCGGTTCATTTTGGGTCTTATGGTTCAACGATGCAGGAGTAAATCTTGATGGATGATTCAGGTAATCTCATGATGGGATGGGATTACCTGAATCGAAAAGGATGCCGTAAACGAATGGAAATTCAGGAAGAATTTCTTCGTAATCGCAGTCACACGCCTAATTTTAAAAAAGCTATCGTTTTGTCATGCTCAAATGAATTTATGATCATGAAAGTTTATAGAAATCCATAATACGGATGCTAAAATTCTGAATAGGTTGCTTCATTAAGACATCGTCCATGTAGACACATCATGCCAGGTCCACAGTTCGTGCCATCAGCAGCACCGCCTAATATTTGCCTGCAGAACCGGTCATCTCCTTTAATGACACAACCCAATCTCCCACATATTCTGTAGTCTATAATGCAGGCCTTAGTCCCGATAAACCTCTTGCACTGTTCGTCTGCATCCATGACCTTTCCAGGAAGATACCTCGGCAAAACCTTCTTCTGAATTGGATTGTTGTAGAGACAAACTGGATGTTGGCTGTTCAAATGAAAGCTTGATTAGAGTTTATTCATTAGAGCTTAAAATGAAGATGCACCAATTGTGTTAATCTTACTTGAGGAATGCCTGGAAATCCTTCAGAGTGCAGCTTGACCAGTCTGGAACTCTGTTCAGTGCAATGGTAGGATTCATAATGTGTCCACTCTCCATGGAACATTCTGTATTATCCAGTCCATCATGTTTGGCACCTAATCTGCAATAGTATATCAGACAGAATCATCAATGAAAAGGGAAGATCTCCATGACGAGAAACAGTTCAAGGGCACTCACAAATGACCAAGTTCGTGTGCAGCTGAGTGAGTGCCATCGAATCCACCCATATCTCTAACAAGCGACACTTTAGTAATTGATGCTCGATAGACTTTCCTCATATTGCACGCTCCTCCACTCCACGCGAGACCTGCAACGATCATCAACCGAATGCAAACGATTCCGTTATAAGAGACGATAATCAACTCTGTCATTTAGATTCTGTGAACTCACCCTCAATGCCAGATCTGCAGAAATTGGTCCCCTTATCGTATCGACACATATCATGCCTGCATATTGAAATAATCCAAGCAATGAGATATCGAATATTAAATTCAATAACGAAGCGGTGAACCGGTTCAAGGCGATTGCAACTATTGGTCAGTTTCCCGTAGATAAATCGAAATCCAAGACAGATAGCAAAATTTTCATCATAAATTCTTCTGTAGAGCGAATTGAGAGCTACAAAATAGGTATTCACAAAAATTTTCTCATCTCCCTTGGATTAGAAAATATTCAGCGAAAACTCCGTCAAGAGCTGAGTCGACGTGAATCGTTTTACCGCTTTCCTACGGAATTTTAATGAGTAATGACGAATAGAGTGTGAAATTAGATCTTACGAGGTCATTGTGACGAGTACATCATAGCTTTCATATGGGATGGGATGCTTATGCGCAAGCCAATAATCAGCACTTGCGAACAATGTGTCATCCGCGATCAGAGCGTTATCTGTGGCTTTATTCTGTGCTATGTATGTGAGGGCTTCATCGTCCTGGATCAATTTAATGACAATTTCTGTATAATGACGATCTATCTACCAATTCAACAACACTTCATATTTCTCCTCCTCTGGATTCTTATATTTTTTCAACTGTGACGCATCCACATAAGAAACGAGAGGTTTTGCTGTAACTAGTTGGAATGTGAATATAACCAACCTGACAGAGAACAATTCCTGCTATATTGAGTCTGTATTTGGGATTCTCCAAGCTTCTGTATTTCAAATCAACTCCGTTCCAGAATGCTATGATATAAGCAACTGCATCGTGAATAGTCCCACCCAGTTTCTTATAGAGATCGTTAGTCACAACGACTAAGACCTCAGGATATATAATATCAGGAATTGGAGGTGGTTGTACTGGAGGTGTAGCTGCCACTGCTAAAATGAGTCAGATAGTTCAGACAAGTGTAGATAGTTTGAGTTAATATAGTGTGAACTCAGCAATAGATTAATCAGGATGCAGTAAGGAAGATTATAGAACGTACGTGCTTCCAGATATTGAACTTTTCCGATTGCTGACGACCTTTTATAAACGATATGATAATGATGATCGTCTTGTTCGGCCTCGGAAATTTTGTCAACAGATCGCCGTTGCCTTCTGACTTCCTCAACCAGGCGCTCAGGAATTGGTGTGATGACCAAATTGTTCGATCCAACTGTTCCAATCTAAATGAGAAAGATTGCAAGATTGCAAGTCCCATGTCAACTGATAATCACCATTTCGTGCTGTACAAAACTTTAGTGGAATGGTCGAGGAATATCTCTGAATCTAGAGGAGATAGCGAAACTTTCGTAATTACCTTTTTTGTGGCTCTCGATATGCTCTAAAAAAAGTTTTTGACAAAAATTTCGCTATCTGTCTTAGGTTCCGAGATACTCCTTGAAAACTGACCAATAGTCAAAATCGACTTGAACCATTTTACCGCTTCGCTACTGAATTATGAATGACAAAGTGTATTGTAGAACTCACGATTCTTCGAGTATCCCTTCCCGTTCGGCTCACAACGACGACTGCAGCCTTCTTCAGATCTTCATAGTGTTCCAGCATTTTTATCACCTGTAATGATATTATGCAGATGCTGAAGAACATGTTTCAATTATTTCTAATAGGAAGATGTGAAAAATATTGACATTGAAGTATTTTGAGAAATAAGGACCGGAAGCTCTCTGCTCAAGAGAATATACGGGAGTGTCGTATCCCACGAGAATTCCATCCGTAGGTGACAGCCACAGTTCGATGTCTTCTCCGAACGCCTTCATGTGGACTCCAATCCCAGGTTCTGCTACCCTCCTCTGGAGTCTTGGCCAATGGATTGGGACAATCTCGTACTTTTGCACTGCAAAAATAGCATCCAAAAGTTGATTGTTTTCTGATCAGTTTCTCCCAACACCTACCATTTTCCTCGAGCGTCTGGAAGGCGCGAAGTCTTTCGTCCGGGGTCATTCGTTTATGAATCTGCAATCATCGAAATTCATGAGGGTGTCAACTACACTGAGAGAGAAACGACAAAGTTCTCAAACAAGTCTTACTTGTGCCAAGAAAATAGTTTTTTGAACATTATCAAAAAAGGATTTTTTGTGGCAAACATGCAGAGAGTGCGCCGGAATGAAAAATTTTTGTCGCTAAAATAGATTTAGTAGTTAAAAAAAAATTGCATTTTCTGTACACGCAAGAAATGTTATTTCTAGCATTACTCCTTCATTATTCGATAATCCCATACCTATTTTGCTCCCGAAAAATATTTGTTTTATGCACAATAAGGGATAGTAGTTTTTCATTTCGGCTGTCTAATAACTACCGACAAGAAATGAACCCATAAATGAAACAATAATAATGATATGATAGCAATCTTGTAACTTAGGGATAAAATATTTCTTGATAAATTTTCCTCTATATGAGATATTTTTATTCTGAAAAGGCACCGTCTGGTGTGAATTATCCGCTTCTTGAGCCAAATATCTTGTTGCTGTCGAAGGCAGAACAATTATTCATGTTTAAGACTTTCAAATTCGAACCAAACAAATTCTTTTTTGGCACTTTTTAACTAGCGATTTTGTTGGCCGAAACAAGACTTGTTTGACAACGTGTTTGTTTTTCTCTCAGTGTAGTTATCATTTAGTGCAGGCTTACCTCATGGGCTGCGTCTACTATTACACTGCAGAATATAACAAATCCCCAAATTAACATCATGAACTCTGTGAATTATTCAATTCCAATGAACGAAACCTCCTTTTCGAGGATTTTTCAAACATTGCATCAGAGACCAATTTTTCCTCGTTTATAAAGTCATGAGTCTCATTTATTATTCATTGGTACTCCCCCGAAACACCTGTATTTACAATCGCAATTGTATGCTATGATCAAATGTCAATATTTCTGTTTCGGAATTTCAAAATTTCGTCTTTGATCAATTTTTTTTTGGCAATACCATCACTTTCGTATGTTCAAATGTTTGGTAATATCCGGTATGACATCTTGGTTGTCTCTAATGTGAATAAAGCATTCTTCATCTTGCTTCATTGAACTTCGAGGCTGTATTATTCAAAAGATATTAAAAAATCGGCAATTGGAGCGGAAAGAAACAGGAACGAATAGCACGTGAACTCACCAAAGATGAAATAGTGCCATTTTTTGAATGAATTAGTGAACATTTTTCCATTGAAATTTCATTGCTGCCATGACTCTCTCGTGCATAATTCATTACCCCCAATCTGCTTATCTCTCAGAAGAAAAAAAATCCAAACTCTTCAATTTATTCAAATGAGATAACCCAGACATTTTTCTCCATTCTGAGTGGCACTAATGCTTCTTTAAAATAAACCGACTTCTCATTACTCAGTGAGTATAACAGAGACAATATTTAATTAACAAAATTTCCATTCTGAATCATTTCAGAGCAAGGACAGAATACGAGTAAAAAGAAAACTACGTTCTCACGACTGCTGAGGGGACTGAAGACACACAGAAAAGAGAAGCAGGGTCAGTCACAGGGTTCACCGAGGCACGGGCGTGCGAGAATGGGAGTGCCACAGAGGGTGAGTGTCTCAGCTTCTTATATGTGTCATGATTCATTACTTTATTCTCTCTTCCGTCCCTCGGACTGATAATTCCATGAATTCTGAGGGACAACTTTTTGTCCTTCTATCCCGAAAAGTTGACGAATAGGTACGTTTATAGAGGTGACAAGCAACTCATATGATATATCAAAGTAGAATGTTCCTAATTGTCAAATTGAATTTTTTAATTTGGTAATTAATTTTTTCAATGTTTATGTTTATAATTCTCATGTGATGATTTCTAAAAAAAAGTTGAGCATTGTATGACTTCTTGTGAATTGCATTTGACCTTCATATGACCCTTACTGACCTTCATATGAACTGCAAATGAGCCTCATATGAACCTTATATGATCTTCATATAACCCTCACGTGACTTTCAAGTAACGCTCATATGAACTTCATATGACCTTTATATGACCCTTATATGAACATTATACGACCTTAACGACTTTCAGAGGACCTTTTATGACTCTTATATGACCTTAATATGACCCTCATATGAACTTTATGACCCTCATTAGACCCTCACGACCTAAATGACCGTTATACAACCCTCATAAGACCTCCATATGGCCATCAAATGCCTTCCACATGACCTCCATAAAAGCTCACTGACTTCTGATTCTCATGCCCTTTCTGACCCTCATATTATTCCACCCTTGTGAGCTTTATGAGCCGTACAATTTGATCCTAAAAATCATTTGAAAGTCTTATCGGTGCAATTATTACCAGGCGTCACCTAAACATTCTACTCATTGAGAAAGAAACTTTCAATACTTCCGCATACATAAATGCATGCTTTGATTTTATGCCAATAATGTTTTGATTTCTCTTCATTGCAATTAAACTGAATATGACAGAAATATTATATTACTCTATTATCAATGTTATTATGAAATAGCCCCGGGAAATGGTTTATACGGAGGTGAGGTCTACGTGGGTAGATGCAACCATCGTACGACGATGGATATCGTTAATAGTAGCACCGAGTGTTTTACGCTCAGTCGATGGAATATATTGAGTCTATTGGCGCAGAGACATGGATATCCGTAAAGTCGATTGGACACATATTGTCGACTTCGACGCTTATAATCCGTGTCCCTAACGTTGAATTCAACTCGACGCTGGGTAACAGCTGGACGTCCATTGAATTATTTTCATCTGTTTACAAATTCGTAATTAACGAGGTCATTATGGAATCAATTTCATGGGCGATCTGTGTGGATGATACATGGATCATGTATCCGGTCATTACGGTAATTGGGGTAATGGAAACTTGGGAGATCTGCTATTACTTTTTTTGCAATTAATTGACCCGCACCAAATTTAGACATTATGGATCGATTAGATGTGGATCAAAACTTTTATTACAATGCTTTAGTAATCTCGGAGGCCCTCATTGAAATGACACTAATCCTTTCGCAGAGAAAAACAATTACTTGTGTCACGAAGAAGTTTTCTAATTTTTTGAAAAAAGAATATGATAATTGACATGTGAAATTACAGTTTTCACTGATTTTTCCATAACATTTTCACTTTCCAACGTAGAATTCTTTGAAATTCTTTGAAATTTCAGTGGAACTATTTTTATTGTAATTTTTTCTCTCTAAATTCTAATTCTCTTAGAATTTTTTTGTGGCCTTGTCATTGAAAAATTAAATATTCCATTGATTTTCTGTTCAAATGATCTGGAAATCAATAAAATACTTGATTTTTCAGTTCAACTATTCTGTAAAAATTCAGAAAAATCAGGAAAATTCAGGAAAAAATTGAAAATTCATGTCATTTTGTATCTGAACATTCCTGTTCCCCTGAAAAATCAATCAAGTTATGAAATTTCCATCTCACTTCCACTAAAAACTCATGAATTTCCGTGAATTCTACTTAAAACTTGAAATGTCATAACCAGTTTTTCCCTAAAGCTGATTCAATGTCACCCTCATGAGATTTACTATAATATCTTCAATGAAATTTCAAAAAATTTCCAACAGTGTAGACACTACTTTTCAAAAAATTTTGGATCACTGTCCTCTCGAAACAACCACCACACGCCGTATCACCTATGGAAAATTCTCTCTGAATTCACAATACTCGAGTCACCCAAAAAGGCTGACAGGTGGAGTGTACTGTTGCGGTCCACAGGTTCCACATTGCCCGAAATTTCGTAACATAGCCCACAGGCCACATGTGATACCGACAAATATGACTATGTTACTCTCAGTACATGATGCCGAGGCTCGCTGCAAGGTATATTCCATGTGTCTATTGTGAGTCCAATATACTTGCAATACACATATCCATTGGTGCACGCCTGTCGTTTCACCTCCGGGGATCATATTGAGGCTTTACATTGTGAATATGCAACGTCAAAGTGGTTGCAAAAACCTCCGAACTTTGTAGATATGATCAAAGGGACGTCTGGCGCATGTCAAACGGCTGATGCTGGGCTTTTTGGCGCCTTTGGAGCGTCTGGATATCATCGTTGCTGACCAATTCACATTATCCATTTTAGATGTCTCGACCTGTTCCACTCACCAGTGGTGAAAATTCAACTGATAGGTGATGGAATGCTACAGGGAGTTGGGGAATATGATGCCTTCTCATTGGATCCATCATACCAAAATCCACTTTTGCTTGGAAACTCTCACTCTGGTACTCGGGGGGTCTCCATCAGGGCTTCGCTAACCACTAGCCAGTGAGAGCCGCTCAGTGTAATTCATGGTACTATACTATATATTGGTATAATTCAATTCTAGTTGGTACCAAACCACCGTCTGTGCCACAACCCAACGTAAAGCTCTCTTCTACTCTATTCTAGCTGTGAGAAGGTACTTTCTACCGTGGAAATTCGATTTTTAACGTTCGTTTGGTTTTAACGGGGCGGTGGTGGGGCAGTATGTGTATCTCGGCTTTATTTCTCTCGGGTGTTTTTTTTCATTCCATTGTAGTTCGAGATGGAGTGGGGGAGAGGCGAGACTGAAAGGGTGGATTAACAGATTTTTAGGGTCTATTTGAGGGTCTTTTTAAAAGTGTGATATGATAAAGTTGCATAATCTTCAATAGAAATGACGCAAAAAACAATATAATTATTTTATAGAATGTTCACAGAACTCCAATGGACTTATAGACTTTCAATAGAAATTCAATTGATTTTTTTTAATGCAAGTGCTATGATTCTTCTTGTATTTTTTTTTCAACTTGACAAAGTGTACAAATTGTTTTCTTTTTTTTTATTTTTCTCTCTGTTTTGTATTTGGTTTATCATCACCGGGGGGGGGCGTCAAATGGATGTAAATATAGTATCATTACGGAAGTAGAAAGACATAAAAACTGTGAATATTATTCTGAGAAAAACTACTTTTCATCAGATGAAAGTGTCTCTACTCGAGACACCATTTTCTTCAGCGAGTACTATACGATGTATAGTATATTCTTAGTAGGTTCTTAAAGGAGTCATCATGGGCCAATGCTCAGCCTTTTATCGGCCGATCAATATTCGAAACCAGGTCAAACTAATTTCGTCAAGCCACTATTAAGAAGGGAATATTCAAACATTTCCCCTGCCATTTCGTGCGAATCTTGTGAACTGAACATCAAAAATCGATTGCAAATAAGCTCGATGGAATATTTCACTATCCCAAAATCCGGGATAATGAGCACTTTAATCTCCGATTGTGGTACGATATTAATGATTCAGACAACAACGATAATTAGTCTTGATATTTAATCCAACTACGAATTTAAGTGATCGATTTCTCCAATAATAATTTCAGTCGAACTGTTGGGTACACTGTTTAGTCTTCCTTTTTCACGATTCACAATGCATAATCCATTTATTACTTAAAGTAAAATAGTATTGAGTAAAGTATATTATACTTGACTCAAGTCAAGTATTTTTTTTTTCCGTGATGTATCAATTTTTAGACTTTTAACGTTGTCGTAAAAATCGGTCAAGTGATGAGAAATGCGTTCAGATAACACGAAAAATCTAAAATTTGAATTTGAACGATTACAAAGCTTCCATTCGGAAGCAAAAAAGAACTGGAGCACCGAAAACTTCAAAAGCTGGAGGAGAGGATTAATACCCTCAACTTCAAGCCTCCCCAACAGCACAAGAAAATTCCCAAGATTTATCATCACCATAATAACCATGAATTTTGTTTCGGAATAATAAAAATATCTTCCTTTCGTGAATTTCCATTCCGAGATTCAGAGTTTTAAAATACGGCAGATGAAAGAGAATATAAAAAAAATGTAAACAAGTGAGAAAGAAACGTTTCTGGAGGTTAACAAGACGTAGTGCTCGCTTTATATGCTAATGTCGAGGAGTTCTAGGAGGGGTTGGAGGGTGGTGGATGAAAGGGGGTCAGGAGAGGCGTGAAATACACTCGGCTTTTAACCCCATGACTCGCATGGGGGTGATGCCCCATTTTATTTTCATTTCTACTACCTCCCTTCGAGGAGAAGTAGAAATTGTGGGAAAGTATTTCTCCGTGAACGTTTTTCTCGTTTGAATAAAAAAAATATTTTCCATTCAGATAAAGAATACGGGGGAAAAACGACAAGTGGCAGGAGAGAGATTGGTAATAAAACTGCTAGACAAAGTGTGAAATTGTGAGTTTTAGGGTGAACAATCGGTTGAGGGTAGCTGCTCGATTTAAACTACCTATGGCACATTTTTTTTCTCACTTCCTCACGTTTATTTCTCACGTACGAGCACTCCGAGGAGGGAAAAAAGCCATGCAAACTGCTTTACATACCGACGTTGTATCGCGAAAAACGTATGGGGCAGTTAAGCGAATCTACGACGGCGAGATGCAGTGGGGGGAGGGAGAGAGGCTGCATAACCGCTGCGCCACATTGCACGAGTTTTTCACGTTAAACTGCGCGATAAATAGTTGCATCGACGACTCTATATTTTCAGTTACGATTATTTCCTAGAGAAATACTTTTTATTAATTTGATCACTACAGTGTT